TATTTATAACGAACTAGTTACTGGGGCGAATCTAAACCAACTTATATCTTGGGGGCCTCACATTTGTAAAAATGGTGAACAAATATTATCAATGGAATTCCATGGGAAATACATGGAAAATCTATGGGAAATTCATGGAATTTCAAGGAATATATGGGAGTATAATAGAGAAGAGCCTCTGTGATAACGGCATTATCTGCCACCAAGAAATTGGGATTTAAGCACAAGAAATGGTGGTAGAATGGAGTATCACAGATAAACCGGGATATTATGGAATATGATGGGACTTACATTGACATCCCCTTAAAAAAGTGAATAATTATGGGGAATATATGCCGTTTTGACACATGTTTCGGACGACCAAAAATGCTGGTATTTACACGGTTTTTGGAATGTCAAGGAAACGCAGAAGGAACGAAGCACTGTAAACAGCGGTGATTTGGCTGGCAAATTTAATTCTATGGGAATATATGGAGAATATCTTCATGGAGAATACCTTCGTCATCAAACGTGATTAGCTGGGAGATCCCGAACTAGCCATTGAGGTTTATAGCTGTGAAAATCATGAAACTCAACGGCAGATTTTCCAGCAATATTTGATTACCGGTAACCAGATCAAACAGTGGAAAGAAAGACGGTGAAAAACTGAGGTGGGATGACATCCATGAAACTGTCTGTTCAATGAATTGAGAAAATAAGAATATATTATATAATTAGATTTGTATTTGTATTATGTTAATTATGTTTTTCTAACATGAGTTAGTGTTTGTTGGTCGCTAATTTTTTTCCTTCAGAGTAGTAAAAGCCTTCTGTATAGATTCATAGATCTTGGCTGAATGGTTGATGGGTCGATTGCCATTTTTGGTGTAGGAATGTGCTATTCATATGCCACCTTAAATGAAGCGTTTGCAACTTCAGCATAGTTGCCATGCGTTCAAAAAATGGATGGTGGACATGATACACCTCCCTAAATTTGAAATTGAATGCCAAAACTAGCCATATAATCATGGAACATCATGGGAAAGCCATTTTCCAGACCCTATTCTTTGAGGGATCTCTTGCATCTCAGGTCGATTTGGTGCCAACAAACTCTCATACAGCAGATCTCTTTGCTGCTTCGACACTCAAGAGATGTGTCGTAAGCTGTGGCTCATCCACGGACATCAAGTTCCTTGATGGTCGGCCTTTGGAGTCTGCTGGGCGGAATGTGACCTTAGAGATTTAAGAGAGCATCATTTGGCAGCCTTGGGAGATATTTTACTAAATTCTGTATAGGTTTTTGGATGGATCCGTTGATACACTTCCATGTAACTCTGACAGTACTGGGCTTACTGTTCGAGCAGCACATCACAGGCCCCGGCGTACATCTAACCCCCAGTGACGAGTCTACGACTAAGCGCATGCAATTTTTTTGGTCAGCCACATGACCCTCTTCCAGACATATCTTGGGGTTACGTAAGAATCAATGTCTCCCAGCTGGAACCATCGTTCCATCGAAGAATTCAGAAAAAAAAACCGGCTTTCTGGGAGCAACAATATACTTGTCCACCCCAAATCAAAGCAAGTTGCCCAAAGATCCCAAAGTATATACTGTAAATGCAGATAATATTATTCCCCACCTTCCAGGTGAGGGTCTCTAGATTTTTACATACGTCCAACTCCTTGCTCACCTTCTTCACCTTCACCTTCTCCATATTGCCAGCTCCGGATGCAGTGGGCTACGCCTGAACCCGAACTCCATATCGCAAGCTTTGGATGCAGTGGGCCACACCTGGACCCGAACACATGCTAGAGAGAATGCCACATAGGCCAGAAAGTATATATAGGCCAGAAAGTATGTCAGAATGGATGCCAGATAGAATGCCAGATAGAATGTAATATTCAATAGTATGTGCCAGAAAGGTGTCAGATAGACGGTCAGAATATATATATATATATGCCATAGATACTTCCGGATGATCTGTCAGAAACTGTGTGTTTGAATAGTGTGTCAGGGTGGGGATCACTGGGTGTAAAGTAATTATATGATAACAATAAGCATACATGTACATGATTGTGCATGTACATATGTATACAATATAAATCCATATAGAGTATATGGATTTAGTGTATATATAGTATTTATATATATCGTATATATATAAGAGTATGTATGTATATAATATGTATATATTCAGAGTATATATCATTGTTGTATCCTTGGCTAATCCTCTATTGATCCGACGATTTCCAAGATGCGCGGGGTTGAGTCGAGCTCAGGTGCTGGTGGATGGAGTCTTCAGTATCACGGCGTTGCGAAGGTTTTTTGAACCAAGCAGATTAACTTAAGAAGTATAGTAATCTTAGAGTATTGTATATATAGGGTAGATATGGATATGGAAACGCAAATTAGATTAGCATACTATGAACATCTATGAACTAAACAAAGGGGACAATCTCTACTCAGCGGATGGCATATCATAACTAGTGGTTACCGATAGTTCGGTGTTGGAAACCAGGTCATAGCTGGGCACCAGAATGTGATCCAAAATGATTGGTGCGCAAAAAAATGTTTACCCCTCTGGTAAACGGGTGTTTACATAATGAACTGGAAAGATCCACCATGCTATTACTGTAATGGGTAAATCAACTATTTCAATGGCCATGTTCAAGTTCGCAAACTGTATGTTTACCAGAGGCTATCTTTTGTTGAAACGCGCGTTTTTCATCATGTTGACGCCGCTGGTTCCGGCTGATTCACAGCCCAGTCAGATGCTTGGCACCTCGACCTTGTTTGGAGGTTACCCGGCCAGGGAGCCAACCCGAAATGTAGGTCATTTCATTAAGAAACCGTGGAAACTTTATTTGCAACCTAACCCCTTTCTATAATGTCCGTTTTGTTTCCATCGCGGTTGTGACCGGTTGTGTTCTCATCGCGGTTGGTTTGGTAAGCCTTTGTTTTGGTTGAAATTGCAATCCATGATTTTCAAACACAATCTTATCCATTATTCACTGGAGTTAAATCCTTATTTTTGATGCTCACATTGCAATTGTTCACCATGTTTGATTGTTAAAAAAACCATAGCTCCCTTGCTTCTGGACCTGGTATGGGTAAATCGAGATAAACCCAAGAAAAACACAAACCAAACAAGGATGGTGAACTAATTTGCCTTTTTCAGTGAAATCCATCATTTTCAAGATCCAGCCAGGTGTGTTAAACCTTTCAGTTCCCCCATTTTGATGTGTTGAATCCACCAAAAAACACATCAACATGGCAGGTGTTCGACCACCGGGTCGCAAGAAACTGGGTGTTTTTGGATGTCCTGGGATTCCACGAAAGTTCCATGGAGTTCCATGGAGGCAGAGTTGGCTGAGGTACTGATCCTCATCCTGGGAACATCCTGGTGGCTGGTGGTCAGCTGGGGTTGATCGACTTCGGCCAGGTTTGTGACCCTTGGAGTGGTGGGGTGCCAGAAAAGGTGGGAAGTGGGAAGACTTCCGATGTCAATGAAAACTGAAGATGTGAGCAATGAAAATCAGAAGTTTAACCTATTTTGTTTAAACAAAAAGTAATGAATCATGCCCAAATGGCTGCAAGTTTCAGTTATTATGATGTATCCGGATGAATCATCAATTTCTTAGTACATTAACGTATGGTAAACAAATAGATGTGGAGAACTTATGGTTTCCCTAGAAACATCTACACATGGCAGGGTTTTTCGGTTTTTCCAGATCTTTTCCTTAGGAGATGGACCTGTCCACGCGTCTCCTCATCGCGCATTTGCTCCTGGCATTGGCGGCAGATGACGACGAGGATATTGCACATTGGTATCCCAGCAGCACCTGGGGAATTGGCGTTGACGATGCCAGTGCTCAACTGCTTGGTGAATAGGAGATTTTCGGAATTCCACAAGAATTAGTTAATATTTCTAGGCTGTGATCATCCCCAGTGTGGTAGTATATCTATATTGACTCATCAACCAGAAGTAGATCGCAGCCACTGATCATTTGCATGCGCATTTCGCATCTCGTGATGATCAGATGGCACGTCTGCAAAGTCTGGCACGTGGCAACTTGCGTCACTGGAACAAAGGTAATTTCCTTACTGGTGCTTAGCAGGGAATTTTCGGGAATGATCCATAATCACTAGTAATTTCATCATCTTTGCAACCCCCAGCAACCCATCCATTCCCTGCGTTTAGCACCAGTAAGTTTCATTGGGCTATCCCCAACTAGCCCTTTTTCAGGTTGATCGCAATGACATGCAATGACTATAATTCATCCAGATCTCGAAAATGTTGTGTTCTTCCGAAAAAGTGCGTTTCTAGTTTCCAAAAATGGCTAGGGTCAGTACAATTCTCCCTTTTTTTCTTCGGCTCTTGAAACTATCGAAAAAAATGAATCTCTCTGAAACTCACCACAAGCCATGATAAGCCATGCCTGGCCAAGCGGGCCGCCCTTGCGCTTGGAGGTATCAAGAGCTGGGGATGAGCAGCCGCAACGGCAGTGTGGAGTTGTTGGCCCTCAATGCCAAGGCCGGATCATGATGGAAGCGGATGTTGTTCATTTGGATATCACATGATATCACTACATATATATATATATATAAATATATTAATGAAGATATCAATAGATATCACTATAGGTATTTTTAGGTGACACATATGAAATATGGTTTGTTTCTTAGTTTGAAGCAGAGTTGTGCATATGGAAAGGAAATATATGATATTATTATGATATATGGTTCATGGTTAGAGATATAGCATATACATTGCTAAAGGGAACTAAACGGTACTGCACACATGTATAAGCATGTGGAGTAGGCCTGACATGACGCCAAATATTTGGCTCAAGTTGCAAGGGAAAACGGTGTTTGCGCCGCTCAGCAATGCTGCCTGGACTCCGGCTACTAGGACGTTAGGGATTCCAACAACTACAACCAGATATCCGGGAACAAGGATTAAAATTGCTCACAGGTTATCAGCCGTAAGGGCTCACTTCTTCCGTCGGAAGAGGAGTACCTGCGTGCTGGTAGCCGGGCCGTCAGAGCTTAAGATTGTGGACGCAAAGGACCAATCAGCTCATCATCGCAAAGATGCAGGGCGGCAGCGGGGACTCGCGCAACACGCAGTTTACCTTCAACGAGAACGCTGCTATGCCGGTCGAGGAGATCACTCAATCTTCCCCTGGCGATACAGCAGACAGTGGTGGGATACGCTCTACCCGAACTACACAGTCCGGATGGCAAGTTACATCAAACAGACGAAGAATGTCCACCCAAAGTACACCAAGATCTTCTCGAAACAGTGCTCGAAGTGATGTTGTCCGCCAAGGGCATCGACCATCTCGAGGACGAACTACCCCAAGGGACAGATCCACCAGGGCCGGAACCGACCGAATTGGTGAGAGGACCGGGGACACTCGCGTTAAGAGGAGATCAACGGATACTTCTGTGGCTAGTGAACCTATTGCCATCATAGAAGAACTACGGGCACAATGTCAATCCTTACGTAATCAGTTGAACAATATGGAAGCATATGCTGCATCAAGAGATCAACTGATTCATGACATCGAGATCAGATTCACTGAATATCTTCAGGAACAAAACCAGAATGTGTTTGATGAGGTCAATGCACTCAATCATAGATTGTCATGTTCCGCAAATGAGGTTGCAGAGTATCAAGCAGAACTAATGGTAGCATCTCAGGAAGACGAAGGTGCAACAATACGCATCCAAGACCTTGAACGCCGAGGTGCCCTGATGGAACACGGTGCAAGACGGATCCATCAACGCGGTATGGAGATCCAGGAAGAGTACAAGGATGAAGTACATCACCTTCAAGGACTATTGGGTAGTACGGAGGCAAGACTGCAACAACTTCATCAGACCAATGTCTTAACTACCGATATTGCCAACCGATTGTACACTGAAGGTCAAGAAATGCAGACGGATTTCCAGAACTCAATCATGGAATATCGTAATCGATCCGAAATGGCATCCTTCTCAAGCAATCAACTTGAAATGATTAGCCAACAACAATCAATTGCAGTTCATGAATTGCCTGAACGGAATCAGCTATTGAGTGAAGCTCTAGTTCAGTCTCGTAAACAGGCCGAGTTGTATGAAAACAGTATTGAAGAGATCACTAGAGAATCTAGAAAGAATGTTTTCGAGGCAAATCAGGCCAAATTGGAAAGCGATCTGAAACACCGAAACACTGAACATGATACTGTCAGAAGAATTGCATCATACAGGAACAACGAGGCCGAAGCGATATCGCACCTGAGGCTTGAATCACAGGCTAGTGCAAATGCGATCGCGAGGGCAGAGCACTATGAAGAGCTCTACGCCAACGAGCAGGAGATGAACTGTGAATTGAAGGATGAGATCAGATTGCAGAACGTGAAGTTGCGAAGATCATCAACTCAGGGCACTACGATCGACGGTCGTGGCCCTGATGAGATGCTTGTTGAAGATCTACGGAACCAAGCCAAAATCGCTCAAATCAGGGTTCAGGATCTAGACCATGAAGTTCATGAATGTTTACAGGAGAACATGTTGTTAAAAGAAAGATTGACTGAAGTTGCGGATGTAGGGGCGTCATCCTTCTCCAATGCTGAAGTCCGAGCTTTAAGATCTGAACTAGAAAGTGAGCGCAAAATGAAATTGGCTAGTGGTGTTCAGCAATATGAGAGATCATGCATGTTCATGGGGGAAATTCAGGATAGGGATGAAAAGATTGGTATCAAGAATTCTGAGATTGTTGACATGAAACGTCGCATAGACGAACTGAGAAAGAGTCTCAAGGATTCTGAAACATCTATGTCCAGGGTCAACCCTGATACGCTTCCCTATTCGGCAGGTATCCCCAACTATGATCTCGCATCAAGACTGGTCATTGATAGACTGGAGAATGAGGTGAGTGAGGCTAACTCCGAGAACTCTGTCCTGAAATCATGGGTATCGCAGATCGACAAGGAGTTGACCTACGAGACTAATGCTGCTCTCTCCTATCACGGGCATGCTGGACCATCTCAAAATCAACCATCTCAATCGAACAAGAGGATCACCGACCTGCTGAAAGAAGTTGACAACAAGATCGCCGATGGAACCGAGAAGGACTACTACAAGCCTCTGGGCGGAAGGGGTGGCCCACCTGACCCTGATGGGCCTCCTGACCCTTTTGGACCTAATGGTCCAGGACCACCTCCAGAACCTCCTGGCTTGCCTTCAGTGCGGGGATCACAACGCGATTCAGCAGATGATATCTCCACCGCGGCGTACACGGCAGAAGAAGTACCGAGAATGTCAAGACGGGAGGCTGACAAAGTCTATGTTAGCCCATGGCCGAAGCAACAGAACCTTGTGGTTTGGCAGTCAGATCTCATCAAGGGTGTTGTTCTTGCCGCGAATGATGGAGACAAAGCTGCATGGGAAGCATGGCTACAGCCGGCTATTCGACCAAATCCTGACATCGAGCTACTGAATGACAGTGGTGGGCAACGATATCAAAGGACTTTTGGCTTCAAGTAGGTGTTAACTTTTTTGAGGTAGGTGTTTGTTTTGTGCAAAGCACTGGCACCTCAGATTCTTGGTTTGTAAATTTAGAGTGTTGCGATGCCAAAGGAAAAGCAAGCACCACGTCAGAATATTTCACACTGAGGAGATTGGGTTAAATGTCAGAAGGAGATGCCAAAGCCAATGTCAGATGATATGTCAGAAAATGGCTGTCAATATGAGGAGAGGGTGGGGCTCACTGGAAGTGACATTTTTTTTGTGAGAACGAAAGGAATGTTGATCTTTCAGAATCTTCCGTTGAGAAATTGATCATTGTTCACAGTTATGTTGCCTCTTGTGCGTGGAAGTGTCAGCATCACTATTTGCATGATTTGCACTGGTTTGCAGCCGCCTGTTCTTCGCTATATAATAATAATAGGTAGCAGCATCTTGCGCTATATATAATTAATAGTAGCAGCTTCTTGAGCGCTATATTATAATTAATTAATAGTAGCGCTTGAAGCGCTTTTAAACATTCTGTGTTCTCGCACAGCTAATTTTCCAGAGACCTCGAAACCGCGTTTTTCATATCATAGCGATCTTGCTGCTATCAATTCAATGGCTTACCATCAAGTGTGGCTGCATGCAGAGCAGTGGAACCTGTTGCCTCTGTTCCTCCAGACCATTTCTATGTTGTCAGAGGAGGAAAAAATTTTCATGGCAGATTTTGGCATGGCACTGTTGAAAGAATGCTGCATTGCTGCGCGCAAGTTGACTGACAACTTCCAAGAGACGCTGGACCTGATGCGTGCCGAAGTTTTTGTGGCGACATTTCGTGGCGTCATCGTCCATGGAAGTTCGACTCACATTCCAGTGGCCGTGCTCAGGGAGACTGAAGGTGACAAGAGACGCTTCCGAGATTTGATTGCAGCTCAATCGTATACGGTGCCTCGCTTGCAGCATTTGGCCAGCGATTTGAGACTGGCGTTACACTACATTGATGAGTGGGAGACAAACTGGCGTTGTTCCGAAGCTTTGGCTTCAGTCATGGAGCACGTCGAGGCCATACTGGACAACTTGCGGCTGAAGATCTTGGGATTGCTTCATGAACCGGAAGGAGAATATAACCCTGAGTTTGACTTTGACTTCAAATGAGGATGGAAAAAATTAGAGGCATGCCGCTTTAGTGCCAGCTGTAGTGCCACCACGTTGCATGCAGAGGTCATTTTCTGAGACGGATCATTTCATTTTGGTTTGTTTCGAGTGCAAACGTTTTTCCATTCGGTGCAATCTGCAGCCGTTTTCAAAAAATGACGTTTGACAGCTCAACACGAGTCAGCGGACAAAAAAAAGCATGACGTAACTTAACATGATGTAGCAGATAATTAAATTCATGTGTGAGTGTTTTTGCGATAGTTTTTATAGGCTGACCATGATCATGATGGTGAGAATGCCGCTACCTTAGGCACTTTCCACTGAACTCTCTGCTGCAATGTCAGATACGCTGTCTGATGCACCAAGCTTGCCTCCTGATGTTGAATCTGAAGATGATAACAAAGACATCTGAAGCAAGATCCGTAAGTCTTCCCTCTGACGTTCAATCTGATGCTGAGCCTGGAAATCTTCAAAAGCATTGCAGCTGCCGATTGCAATGTTACCTGAAGTTTGATGAAGCAGAAATCGAACATCGACGTGCTGAAAATTTGAAGGATCAGCAGGTTCGACTCCAGAATTTATTTGGAAAGGTGAAATCTTTCGTGGATGCTTTATCTGTAAAGACTGCTCGCATAGATTGGCAAATGGGTGGCCAAAAAGTGTGCAGGCCCTTTTGGGAGTATTGCCACTCAGTAGGCCACAAACAAGTGGACGACATGGTGAAATTGGCTAAGCTTGGACATGCTGCTCTCCCTGAAAAAGGCGCCCGGATGCCCAAGGAGAAGCCTCGCATGGATGAGGCTGATGTTTGGTTCCTCAACTTATATACAGGTCTTGCAGAGCCGACACCAGTGGAAGATGGTGGCCATCGCCATGTGGAAGAACTTCCTGATGCAGATCAAGTGCATGAAGTTGTCCACGATGTTAGCCATCCACTATATTCAATGTCTGTTGGTGTTGGCAACCAGGGGGCATTGGTCCCGAAGCGTTTCCTCAATCAGGAGAATTTGGCTTCTTTGTGGCATGTCTACGAGCTGAACAAGTCGGATGAGCCACGTGTGTCCCGGGATACCTTCACCAAAGCTTTCAATCGACACTGGAAAAGGATTTTATGCTTCAAGGGTTATGGTCAAGGAGTACGATGTCAAGTTTGTGCTGATTTTGATGAGAGGCGTTCGCAGCTGACTTCAAAGAAGGAGCGCCAGGAGATTGACGAGTTGAAGCAGCAGCACCTCAACAGATGTGACATGGACCGATCTGTCAATGTCAGGGGCAACCGATTGTCAAAGCAGGATTCAAATTTTAAGATGGAGAACTCCTCGACTAGCTTCCTCAAGGTGTTGGTGGACGGGATGGACCAGGCAAAATTTCGATGTCCCAGAAACTTGAAAGCCAATGCAGCCTTCGCCAATGTCCAAAGGCCGGCCTTGCATCTCACTGGAGCTGTGGCAATTGGCCTCTGCGAGGTTTATTATATTCTTGCGCCTGACACCAAGAAGGACAGCAACATGGTTGCAACTTGCTTGGCCCACCTTTTGGACAGATGCCAACTTGTTGTCGAAAATAGAGGACCAGATTATTGCTTGCCAAGACATCTCATCATTGGAGCGGACAATTGCACCAGGGAGACGAAGAATGCCTATTTGGCCCAATTCGGTGCCTTCCTTGTGGGAAGGGGTTTATTTGATTCAGTGGAGTTTCAGTTTATGGTCACTGGCCACACAAAGAATGAGCTGGATCAGCGCTTTTCAAGCGTTGCGACGATTTTGAACAAGGCTGGCACCCTGGAAACGCCATTGCAATTTGCCAACTACATGACGCACCATGTTAAGCCAGCAATGGCAACCGAGATGCAGGTGGAGGTCTTGGATGCTACTAGGGATTGGCAAGCTTTCTTTGAACATTTGAGCATGCACGTGCAAGGGCTCACAGCGACCCACCTTCAGCCTGATTCAAACCATGTTTGGCGCTTTGTCTTGCGACAGCAAATTGACCGTGCCCAAATGGTGGAGAACCACAACCCAAACTGGAAGGATTTTCCTGAAGACCCCAGGGATGTTGTGCTGATTCTCAAGCAGTGCCTTGGTTTTTTCCTGTTCTTCAAAGTCGTTTCAATGTTGTACCTTTTAGTTCTTGGACCGTCCCATGGTTGAATTACCAGGTTCTCACCGCTGCTGCAATGAAATGTATTTTTTTTCAGACTGCCAGGTTCATGTCCTCGGCCGAAGCGTCGCAACCACCTCAGCTGATGCTTCCAGCTCAGCTTCTTGGCAGTTTCAAGCGGGACCTCTTGACGATTGCCGACAGAAGGCAGTGGTCTGAAGATCAGTTGGAGCAGTACCTGAAGACTGCTCAAGCCGTGTCGTCGGATCCATGGAGACTCTTTGAGGCGCAGGCATGGCTGGAAGGCTTGTGCCATGCTAACAAGCATCGGCTGTCCAAGGAGCCTCCAGTCTTTTCTTTGGTTTTGCAGGAGCATGAAATGCCTGAGATCGTCACAGATTTGCCAGATGAAGCCCTGTTTCAGCCGGATCCGGCACCTCGTCGTGTCAGAGTGTTGCTGAAGCGACCTGCTGCTGCAGCCAAGTCATGTCGACAGCCGAAGATGAGAAGACCTGCAGCAGCTCTGCCAGGTGCTGCAGTTGCAGCACCAGCAGACGCTGCAGTAGCCGCGGCGGCCAAGCCTGCTGCAGCACCTTCTGGATCGCGACCGCCCATGCGCAGACCCGCGGCTGCAGAACCCTCAGACCGTGCCAATGCTCCTCCGGAGTCACATGTGGTTGAGGCTTCTTTAGGGAATTACACATGTCAATGTTCGGAGACTCTGATATGATGTCTATGACAATATTATTGGACTTCTGTTTCAGCTAGGGGCGAGACTTCAAACTTTTCAATGTCAAGGTATACCACTATCTTGAAGATGTAAAGGGAAAGAAACAGTCGGTGATCAGAAATTCAGACAATGTTGCTGCAGTTGCATCAGAGCTGGCGATCCATTGATATATTATAATATGTATTATGATTTTTGGCATCGTAGGTAGCGCAGAGCGCTCTATAATGGGTCCCCTATTAAGTAGGTAGCGCAGGACGCTTTATAATTATATCATATGATAATATCCCTAACACATTTATGACCACGTAAAGTCACCAATTTGGCTTGGCCCGCTAGGCAGATTCAGAGAAGATCGAGCGCTATGGATGCTCCAGGTGCAGAAGCGCCAGGATTGGGTGCCTTCAATGTCGAGCCTGGGTGGAACAGAAGAGGCGTCGTTACGTTTTGGATTCAGCTGGCCACATTTGTCAGCTTAAAGCTGACGCTGAGGATGTTGATTGAATATCCCCAGCCAATCTTCAAGATTTTGCATTTGGATTGAAAAGAGAAAATGAGATGCCTTGCTGCAGATTGCTTTGCGATGTTGATTTGTGATTGAATCCTGAAGTGCTTTGGCAAAGAAACTTTCTTAGACATTAGCCAAATCATGTTTGAGATGTCGCTTTGTGATTGAATCCTGAAGTGCTTTGGCAAAGAAAGTGTCTTAGACATAAAAAAAACATGTTTGAGATGTCGCTTTGTGATTGAAGCGCTACTGGCCAAGAAACAGTCCTGCCCGAGGAAAACACAATTTCCTTTGAAAGGGGTCCTCGGAGTGAAAGGGGTCCTGGGTCCGCGCGCGCGCGCGCGTCAAGGGCTCCAAATTGAAGCTAGCATGCGCGCGCGCGCGCGGACCCAGGACCCCATTCACCCCGAGGACCTCTTTCAAGGGAAATTTTGTTGGAAACTCGATTGTTTGTGAGTTTTTTTTGGATCAAAGAAACAGTCCTGCCTCGCACCATGAAAAGACCAGCCTCCCTGATGGCAGCACCTGCTCCTATGTGCCGACCAGCTGCGGCTGCAATGCTACCAAGCCCATCAGACCAGAGCACGGTGGCTCTCCTTGAGTTGGAGCGTTTTTTTCCAAAGGGGGAGTTGAAAAATGCACAAGGCCAAACCTATACGGAGTACTGTCGCGAGCTGCGCCATGAATGGGTTGTTGAAAAAGACCGCAATGAGACCTTCCCGATGGTCAATGCAGCTGGAGAGTTCCTTGCTTTTGAACTATCATTCTTTATTTCTTAGCACCCGGGTGTGTCTCCCTTGTGCTAATTTGTCAATCTCCCATGGATAAATTGCTACCATTTAGCAAATTGTTTTCTTTACCGTTTTGTGCCACTGTGGCGAACATTCTCTGACAAGGAGCAGTTTGGTTTATCTTGTGAGATATGCGATCATGCTGATGATGAGTTTGAGAACATGTTTGGAGAAATCCTTCAGTTTAACAAACAAAATCTTTAAAATTTAGGAACAACCGAGACATTTTCATGTTAGGAACAAACCCAAGTAGGAACAATCCTTTTATATTAGGAACAAACCCAAGTAGGAACAAACCTTATATTTTAGGAGATCTCCTAAGTAGGAACAAACCTTTTATTTTAGGAACAAACCCAAGTAGAAACAAACCTTATATTTTAGGAACAAACCCAAGTAGGAACAAACCTTTTATTTTAGGGACAAACAGTTTTTTTTGGTTAGGAACAAACCTATTATTTTAGAGACTTTTTTTTTTTTTGTGGAACTCATGCTGTGAAGCAGCAAGGTTGGAACGGGTGTCGACTGCTGACTGGACAACATACAAGAGAATCCATTCCAGCCACGATGGTTGGAAGTTGCTTCAAGGGCGCTATCGTTGGCGCCGGGACTGGCAGCAGCAGTGGTCTTTCCAAAATGACCCCCAGGAAAACCAGAAGAAGTGATGCTGCGAAGCGATTTTGTTTTCCCTGTCTTTAGATTTTTTTGAAATCACTACTGCGTAGAGTCAAAGGAAAACAGGGCAGCTTCTTGCCTCCAACTCTGTGAAAGTTTTTTTGAAATCATTACTGCGCTGAGTAAAAGGAAAACACTGCAGCTTCGTGCCTCCAACTCTGTGACAGTTTTTTTTTAAACCACTACCGCTGAGTAAAAGGAAAACAGGGCAGCTTTTTGCCTCCAACTCTGTGAGAGTTTTTTTTTTTACCACTACCGCTGAGTAAAAGGAAAACAGGGCAGCTTCTGGCCTCCAACTCTGTGAAAGTTTTTTTTTGAACATACTTGAAGCATCCATGATTTTGCAGTAGAAGGCTAAACCCTAAACCCTAAACCTTGTAGAAAAAAAACGGGCAGCATTTTGTTTACATTGATATGTTTTTTTCTCTTCTGAAATATGTACTTCACATGGATTAGCTTCACCAATTTTCACGGGATATCCTGGGATATCCCCTGAAATCTCGATGGGGATCTGGCCAACAAAAATTTCGACCTGGATTTCACGGTCGTTCCTGGGATAGCCGCTGAAAACAGTCAAGTGTGCAGAGATCTGTTGGATAAGCTTAGCTTGAACTGCAGCTACCTGATCACACATTTCTCTGACAACAATGGTTTTTAAGAGGCCATCCTGGGATAGAGCAGGAAGCCACCCACAGAGATACAGCTGCAGCTTTCACAGTCAGTCTTGCTGTCCCTCGATTTTTTCATCTGAACTGCTGTTAGCGTGTTAGGGACGACCATTACCTGGGCACAGTCCAAAACTATATTAATAGGCAGCGCTTGACCCCCAGCGCTTACAGTAAGGGGAATGCATCAACTGTTTTCTCTGTGGATTATTTTTTTTTGGCATGCCAGTCAGTGAGACGAACCGCATACCAGTCAGTGAGATGAACCGTTTATCCTGTGGCTCACTGTGTGTTTTTTTTTGGCATACCAGTCAGTGAGATGAACCGTTTCTCTTCTGGTTCACTGTGGATTTTTTTTTTGGCATACCAGTCAGTGAGATGAACCGTTTATCTTGTGGTTCACTGTGGTTTTTTTTTTGGGCATGCCAGTCAGTGAGATGAACCGTTTCTCTTCTGGTTCACTGTGTGGATTTTTCTTTGGCATGCCAGTCAGTGAGATGAACCGTTTATCTGGTGGCTCACTGTGTGGATTTTTCTTCGGCATGCCAGTCAGTGAGATGAACCGTTTCTCTTCTGGCTCACTGTGGTTTTTTTTTGGGCATGCCAGTCAGTGAGATGAACCGTTTATCTTGTGGTTCACTGTGGTTTTTTTTTGGGCATGCCAGTCAGTGAGATGAACCGTCTTCTCACTTGGCATACCAGTCAGTTCTCTTCTGTTTTTTTTTTGGCATGCCAGTCAGTGAGATGAACCGTTTCTCTTCTGGTTCACTGTGGATTTTTTTTTTGGCATACCAGTCAGTGAGATGAACCGTTTATCTTGTGGTTCACTGTGGTTTTTTTTGGGCATGTCAGTCAGTGAGATGAACCGTTTCTCTTCTGGTTCACTGTGGATTTTTTTTTTGGCATACCAGTCAGTGAGATGAACCGTTTATCTTGTGGTTCACTGTGGTTTTTTTTGGGCATGCCAGTCAGTGAGATGAACCGTTTATCTGGTGGCTCACTGTGTGGATTTTTCTTTGGCATGCCAGTCAGTGAGATGAACCGTTTATCTGGTGGCTCACTGTGTGGATTTTTTTTTGGGCATGCCAGTCAGTGAGATGAACCGTTTATCTGGTGGCTCACTGTGTGGAATTTTTTTGGGCATGCCAGTCAGTCAGATGAACCGTTTATCTTGTGGCTCACCAGGCCCATGAGACGAGGCAGTGGCAGGAAACAATTCAGATAAACTCAAATTGACTTGAGCATCAGGTAGGAGCAGCAGGTGCACCCAACTAGTCACTTCTTATGAAGTTCCCATTTCATTGACCTATTATTTTTTCTCTCCAGTGCTCTGTTTCTGCGTCTCTGTGCTGCCAGTTTTTCCTGCCATGGCTGACGACCTGTCCTCCACTGAGTCAAAGTCAGATTCCAATCGGAAACTGTCAAAGCGTCAAAGGAAACTTGCTGCCGCTGCAACCTTGCGCATCCTCGAGCAGAAGCTTCAGAAGCGCCCAGTGACTCACAAAGGACGCCACTATGATTCCTTGGAATGTTTGTGGAACTCCAAGGTATCTTCAGAACCCAGTCAGCCTGCACAACCTGGCCCTGCTGCAGCAAATGCCTTGAAGAGGCCTTTGTCACCAGACGATTCTAGTCGAGAAGTTCGAAGTCGAGGAGATGAAACTGGTGGTATGCAGTCAGCTGACCAGTCAGCCGCACCAGCTGAAATGCCTGCTCATGACGAAGGCATCCCAAGTGCGACTGCATCAGCTTCGGGTAGCAAACCTTCAGCTGAAAGCCAGCCTACTTCATCGATCTCTCCTTCTTCAAAGGCAGCACCTAGGGTAGTGCCAGCTCTTAGACCTGTAGAAAACCCAGCTCCCAAAAGTGGACGCAGAAGAGGCAAGAGAGCAGGTCAGAACGTTTTTTTCTACAATGCGTTGCATGCGTTGCGCAATGCTTTTCAGTGAAAAAAAAATGGCATGAGGGATCCATTTGAAGTTGTTGTGTCAGAAAGGCATGAGCAGTCACAGAATCAGAAACAGCAGCTCAGAATTCAGTTTTGGCATTTGCACGGTTTGCCTCGGTTATCTTCCCTATGTAGGTTAGCGACCGTTTGGGCGCTTATTAAATATGAATATGTAGGTAGCGACCAATTGGGCGCTGTAATAGAAATAATAAATAATAATAATGACAGTGAAATTGGAAAATATGTTTGTCAGAGCAGCATCAAGTGCTGCAATCTTTTGTCGTTTTGCAACTTGATGGCTCATAGCAGCTTGGAGTTTCAAGTGGAGCTGGCATTGCGTTGCTTTGTCAGGCTGACTAGCTCCCCCCAATTCGAACATGGCAATGGTGTCTGATGCACCAGAGGTTGAGACAATTGAAATTGATGATGAGTGTGTGGATGATGCGTCCCAGTTCGCAAAGGAGTGGCTGGCCAAAATGAGAACCATTCTTCAGAACTATCCAGCTGGCCCAGGAAGCTACTTGGAAGACAAAATGAAGACGGCAGCAGACAAGGCTCGTTTCGCTACTTGGCTGCTGGAAACATGGCCTGAAAGACCAGATATCTGCTATCACCACGACCAAGTAGTTCCCAGTGTGCTGGAAGATGAATTGGCCCAGTCGCCACCACTTGCTATCCATGTGTCGTCCTTCAGCTGGACCGATGGCTGTGGGGTGAAACCTGCTCCAGGACGTGATTTGGCTTTGGGCCTCATGGCAATGTACCTCAAGGATGGCTTCATAACCAGCGGAGATGTGATTCTGATGGCTCAGCCATTGGCAGTTGAGAAGGCAGCTGGTCTTCCCAGCCTTTGGGGATCTGAAGAGTCAGCACTCAAGCCTTTTAGCCTGGGATATTTGAAAGGACGTGCTCGACTTACCAGTCTCTTCGCTCTTCTTTTGTCAGTCTTTGAAGAAGAGGTCTCCTTGGATGACTTGAAAAGCTTCTGCCCGAAGTTATTCGATTCCGTCTCAGTCATTTGGGTTCAGCATATGCGGCAAAACAGCAAGGAAGATGAGGTCTTGTGCAACCTGAAGTTGAGCACGAGAGGATCCCTTAGAAAGGCAGCCAACCTCATCCAAATTGCCTTCATGGTCAGACGTCTGTTGGCTTCAGGAGGCACCGACTACACTACTTTCCTGCGAAAGTACAACCAGCAGTCTGTTGCGGCTCACCAACTTCGCGGTCGCAAGCAAACTGCACTGAAGCTCCTCTTCGAAAGCGCTCCCAAGGACTACTTGGATTTTTTTTTAAGTTATAGTGTTTGTGTGACACCACCCCTAACTTTGTCACTTCTCCAGGGAAAAATAGTAGATAAGTTTTTCTTTATGTGTACTATCCTTTTCTCGCTGTTCAGGACGTGCTGGATGAGATCCTCAACCATGTTGGAACTCTTGGATGGGAGAATTGTGCTTGGACTGAGGAGAATTTGGCTTCAAAACGTCTCTTCCCAGGACACGTTTTCCCAGCCAAGAACAGGAAGTGGCAACAGAGATTGAGAGTCAGCGACAGGTCCTTGAGAATTATGGTTCTCAGGATTCACTGGGAGCAGGAGCACCAGTCTTGTGAGAAGTGCAGCCAGAAGAAGCCGGATGACAGAGCTTGTGAGCTACTGGCTGAAAAAGCAGCTTGCCTCGTTTCCTTAGCAGATGAGTTTTGCTCTGAGCATCCCATCACCATGGAGACAGTCCAGAAGAAGATACTGGATGAGTGGTCCTCTGGATGCAAGCGCATTGACATGGAGCTGGCCGCGCAGTTACTGGAGAAGTCCGAATCCTTTGCCATTGCGACCCACATGCCTTGTTTCAAGGCTTTGCTGGAGGAATCTCTTTTTCGTGCGCCGGTGTCTTCTTCCCAAGAGGCAGGGGCTCTTTTCTTGACGTGGTAGTCGTTGTTTGATGAGTAGCATAACCCATAATAATGACGAAAACAATGATAAGATAATAATTTCAAGCTTTATTCCCTCCCTCAAAGTTTTTGGTCTACTAGTCGGTGTTGCAATGAAGCTGCCTTGATGATGGCCTCTGCACCAAAACACCTTTTCTGTTGAATCTTCTCCCCAATCATTAGGATAATTGTGAGTTTGTTTTGTTCCACAATGCTGGCAGGTGGAAATGCGAGACAAGCTGAAGAGAGATGAGTTCGACCATGTTGTGAAGAAAATGGACTATGACATCAAGGTCTTCGAAATTTGGCAATCGAAGGTCGCATCAGTGGCAATGGCTCGCCAGCATGCGAAGCAGGAACATGTCGTTTCTGAACACAGGAAAATCGTGGAATCAGTGGAAGCCTATCTTGATGGTTGTGTTCGCTTCCTGTGCTGGGAAGGAGTCAACAAGGGAAGTGATAGCATCGTTCCACAGGTCCTCTCATTTCGCATGGAAATTTTGAGAAAGCTACGCAACCAAAACACAGCTGGTGCAGCTGCAGATGTTCCTACCTTGGTCCTCATGAATTGGACCGCACCCTGTCTGTTTCCAGCTGGACGGCAGAATGATCACATCAACTGCCTTGCGTGGGCGTTGCACGACAATACCAACTCGGCTGCAATCATTTTCGCACCTACCTTTTCGTACCAGAAAGGAAAAACATTCCTGGAGGAAAATGCGTGCATGCAGCTTCTGGCACAAGGAGGGCACAACTTGGACCATCAGTTCAGCGTCTTATTTTCTGACAGATGCGATCAGAGAGACAGCCGACCTCTGCTTTACCCTGCTCGTTGGGCCTTCCCAGGTCATGTGGTTGACCTTGGAAAGACAAATGCCTTCTTTCAGTCGGAGCTTCGCAAGGCTGGGCGAACTGATCCTTGCAAGCAAATGGCCGCCAAGGACTTGAAGGAAATGGAAGACATGGCTGATGACAGCCTCCCAAGCACAACTTCAAGCAATCACATCTCTGGAGCAGCCAAGCATTGTCAGTTTGGCCGTCCTGCTGCAGAAGAGGTCTTTCGCAAGGCCTTCAACCAAGTTGACCTGGAGAAATTTCCAGCTGTGCTGATCGTGGACCTCTTCCCCCGAGTTGGTGATTTTGCAGGTGCTTTTTGCCGCCTCCGGACCCAATTGAATGCTGGGACCAGCTTGTTCTACATTGGTGTCGGAGAGAAGGCCAAAGAATTGGAATGGCTTCGCGCGACTTTGCTCGAAGAGTTGGTGGAGAAAGTGAAGCTGGAAGGCTTTCAAATTCCTGGCGCTCAGCCATTTCAGAAAGAAGTCAACCCAGACCTCCTGGATGCACTTCCCGCAATTCCAATTACCAATCTTCTTGTTGTGACAGGTGAAGGTGAAGATCGAAGTCTGGTGCTGCCAAAGCACTTGATGCTGAAGTGGCGTTCTGATGAAGATTTCGGCGATGAATTTTCCAAGTGGCTTGACGCATTTTTGGAAAAGTATTCAGTGAGTGAAGATGCAGACAATTCTTCACCCAACAACAAGAGACAAAACAGTGAAGAAAAAACATCGGAGGCTGAACCGAGCCCAAAAAGGTGTCGAGTGGAGGAAGTGCCTGCAGAATGCTTGCTTCCTTGTGACAAAATTGCAGAGACGCTTCTATTTGAGACGAAGCTTGGAGGAAAAGATACCATTGGATTCCAGATCCGCACCAACCACCAGCTCTATTTGGTCAACCAGACCTCCCATGAGCTCAGTCTCAAAGCAATGTCGCCTTTGGTTGGATTTGGCAGGGGATCGTTCAAGTTGTTCAAGGAAGGTGACACACTACCTGAGAAAGCTTTGCTTTTTCACATTGCTTCCTCAGATGCCTTGGTTTGCCTCAACGGTGCTGTGCAGACAATTTCAGAAGTGCTATTCAACCAAAGAAAAATCAAGCCTGAGGCTACTGTCTGCTACCACAAGGCTACACCTTCTGGGCAAAAAACTGATGGCCAGACATTGTTTGACTTCAAGTTGACCCACAAAATTTGCTTTGTGCCGCCGACGAAACGAGATGGAGCAGATGAAGGAGCAGAAAAACCCGGCAAAGAAGAGACTATATCCTTCACCAACATCGCCTCACGCGAAACAGCTGGTACTTTTTGTGATTTGCAATGCGCAAGTCTGATTTGGCATGTGCGCTGGACAGTCAAGGGGCTGCAGCCGCTGAAGCCCATGATCCATTTAACCAAAAAGCTTTGCCTTGCTGCAGGTCAGTGCTGCAAACTCAATAAGCAATGACATTGCAGTTTGGACCACAGGTAGCATTGAAAATGCCTACGATTTTGATATGCAGATGGCTGCCCCAAATAGGTGACACTCGAAAACATTTTGTCCACACAACCTTGCTATCAATTTTTGCTTCTCGAAAGAAAGCACCATCTGACAGGACATTGCGTTGATGTCCCAATCTTGGGTCTTTTGCTTATCGACATAGTCGACATAGTGCACATCGTGGCCGACAAAAGGAACCAGCTTGAGAGTCATTCTTGCATCATTGTCAAGAGATTTTCAGACATGTGCTTTTATATGTATTGTTTCGCTTCAGTACTCACTCGACAGATGCGCTGGCTGTTGACAATCATGTGGAAGTTTCATAGTAACAGTAATAATAATAATAGCGCTCTTAGCGCTGACCACTTTATAATAGTAATAGCGCTCTTAGCGCTGACCACTTTATGCCAATGGGGTATGTCTGATCGTTGCTTTCTCATATTCAGCCACGAGCGACTGCAAGCCCAAACTTATTGTTATGTTTGGACTTTTGGATTTTATCGACAGAGAGTTTAAATCTCCAATGACAAAACCAGTTTTCTGACATTCATCTGGCATCTCCTTCTCTGGCATTTAGTCTACAATCAATTCAATCTGACATATATTCTGCCATGATACCAGACTGAGACTGTAATACAAAAAGATTCTGAAGTGGTGCCAGTGCTTGGCACAAAACAAACACCTACCTCAAAAAAGTTAACACCTACTTGAAGCCAAAAGTCCTTATCAGTCAATCGACGCCAAGTTGTCAATCGCATTGTCGAACGTGATAGCCCAAGCCGGTGATGTTGCTCGTCATGTAGCAATTAAACTAAGATTGAGAACACAGAGTCATAGTCGAAGAGGAACCTATGTTATGGGACGAGAAATTTTGGCTATGATTCTGGAACACTTCAGGACACCAGGTCAACGAGAGACAGCCTTCACCATGGAGCACATCGTATCGATGAAGTATCTCGGTGACTCCAACCTGGAAGTGTTCTACGAGAAGTGGATGGAGATGGTGTCAAACATGATGCCGGATGATGTACCTCCTGATGATTGGCTTCGTGACTCTCTGTACAAGAAGATTCGGAATTCGAGTCTCATGATGTTCGACATCAAGCAGTACGAATCATTGATTGAAGGAGATCAAAGACGAAGCTATCGCTACCTGTTGGACGTCATCGAAAGGCACATATCCAGGATCAGAGAAGACAAGCATGTGGCCGCCAGAGAGAAGTACGCAAGAGACTTTGCAGGTGGTGGCAAACCCACTACTCCTGCACCAAATCCAACTGCTGCTGCACCAGATGCCAATCCGAAGGCGAAGGCTAAAGCCAATCCCAAGGAGAAGGCAGCACCTAAGGCGAAGGCCAAGGCTGAGGCAGCTCCAGTTCTACCATCACCTCAACCAAAACAGCATGCAAAAGGAAAAGGGAAAGGTCAAGGGAAAGGAAACGGACGGTCAAACAGCCGAAGTGCTAGTCCTAGATCCAAGAAGAAGATCCCATGTCATTTCCATTTCATCAAGAAAGCATGCAGAAAAGGAAAAGATTGTGAATACAGTCACGACCAAAAGGTGTTTGATGCGAACAAGAACACGAAAGGTAATGGTCGAAAGCCAGGAACTCCGAGAAGTCAATCTCCAGCGAACAAGACCAAGAAGATTGATGAACCATGCTGGCACTGGGCCAAGGGCAAGTGCCGATACGGAGACAAATGCAACAAACGTCACGATCCTCATCTCTTCAACACTGCTCCGAACACCGAAGCATCAAGCTCAAAGGCTACTCCTGCACTTGTCCATGAATGGAGTGATGACGAAGGGACATTCCACAAGGTTGCATCGAATGTCGTCAAGAAGAAGGTCAGATTTGATGAGTCCAAGACTTGCATCCAAACGTACGTGAAGAAGGACTTCGTGAAGTGCAGCCGGAAATCCCAGACCATCCCCAAAGGTCATGGTAAAGTCGGCAAGCCCACCGATCAGATAAGGCAAGATGAGCAATGGTCTTATTCATGCAGACTAGCATCGAGCCGAGGGAAGGCAATGGCTATCCTGATCGATGAGAAGGGCGAGTACAGTGACATTGATGAAGTCCTAGTCATCGTCGGCCCCAGTCTGGACATTCTGATCAGGTTCGACATCGAGGACGGTGAGATATCCAGGGAGGTCTTCGTGGAGAACTATGTTCAACATGTCGAGGGTCGATATGGCAAAAGGGGCAACACGATGTGTATCACTGTTCCTGTTGAAGAAAGAGATAAGAGATTCATATTGGATTCTGGAAGTGGTCATGATCTTATCTCATCCACACGAATAAGTAGAATGGATCTCCCAACATATGATGATAAAGTCGTCAACTTCCATACAGCAAACGGGGTAACATGTTCGACCAAACGATCAAGTATCAAGTTCGAGGCATTCAACGAACCAGCAGAAGCTCACATCCTGGAAGACACGCCTTCCGTAATCTCCATGGGCAAGCGGTGCGTTGACCTTGGCTATTCGTTCGTATGGCCGACTGGGAAAACTCCTTTCATGTTAGATCCCAATGGCAACATCATCGAAATGACTGTCAAAGACTACATTCCTTATGTGAGTGTCGATCAAGAGAAGAGAAAGCTAAAATCATCCTGCGTGGAAAAGATCATGGCAGTTCTTGATGATGAGTGCTCAACGTCAGAAGGCGAAGGTCTTTTGGTTATTGATGGAGAGAGTGGGGATGAGCTTGAGGATCTTTCCGACGCCGTTGGACGATCCGATGGTGAATCTCCCAAGAAATCAATAAAGAAACGTAAGAAAGCAAAGTTGAGAGGTGATCAACATGAAGTAGCTGTTGGAAGTGATGCAGGTGATGCTGAGGAAATGTCGTGCCATGCCGATGACTATGCCGAGTTTGACGATGACGGGTACGAGCCCAGCATTGGACCGGATGATGTCGATGAAGATCATCAAGTTGAGGTTGAAGAGATTCCTGAAGATGGAGGAGGTGAAGATGACGACGATGTCATTGATGTTGATGAGGAAGATGGAGGAGTCCGATTGAGTAAGAGGGGAACTTTGAAGAATGAGGCAAGATCAAAGGTTCATCTTCTAACTCATCGCTATAAGAACCCATACTGTGAGTCGTGCGTGCGTGCCAAGATGAAGCACAGGAAGACGTTCAGAGGAGCGTTTCAGCGTAAGCTCACGAAGTTTGGGGACCTGGTCACATTCGACTACGTTGACAATCGTCGTATTGCTGAACAGGACTATGGCGACGACAAAACCATCTTTGTCATCAGGGATAGATTTACGGGGATGCTTCAATCTTACCCTTCTGCTAGGAAGGATACTGACGCAGTCATCCGGGCGGTCAAACAATTCATGGGCCGTCGTAAGATCAGAGAAGCATACTCCGATGATGCCCCGCAGTTCGACAAGGCCATGAAGATCCTGAAGATCCCAATGGACACATCATTGGCCGGAAAGACCAAGCACAACTCACTTGCAGAAAGAACTAACCAGTTTGTGCTCGTGGCAACCACGACATGCCTACTTGAAGCAGGAATACCACCGTGCTTCTGGATGTACGCTATCAGATGCGTAAGCCACCTGCTCAACATCGAGCCCAACGATGATGAGGTAAGTTCTTGGTGCAAACTTCATGGAGAAGAATTCAAAGAGAAGATGATACCTTTTGGTGCCCTCGTGTACTTCAAGCCCAGTGGTTCACGTGAACGAGAACAACAACACAAGTTTGACCCCATGGGAATTCCCGGAGTGTTCGCCGGATACTCCATCGGCCCCGGGCTCCATTGGTCGAGAAAGTACAGGGTATGGGCATTATGTGATTGGAGTAAACAGAACTTGGCTTATGACGCTGAGAAACCCGTCGCCAAATTGAGGACTCCGCACTACACCGAAAGGGTAGAACTAAAAGAACCTCTTGAATTCCCATGCAAGTCAGAGTATGAAAGGATTAATGTTTCCATTGAGGGACTAAAAGTAAAAGATCGTCTTGAAGGAAACCCCGAAATCCTACCGCCACCTCCTCCGGATGATGGTGATGACGATGAAGGTGGAGGTGATGACGATGGTCATGGTGGTGATGGTGTACCTTCGTCGAAGGTCCCACAAGAAAAGACTGAAGGGGAGTTGGAAGCTGAAAGACTCCTTGGCGAAGTATCTGAAAGAATGGGACCACCGGGTATCGACAAGCCCGCACATCCAGACCTTCATGTTCCAAAAGGAGGGCCAGAACACTACTCCATTGGAAAGGCCGGGGATGGGGTTGTATACCTGAATGACGACGGTGAATGGGTGAAGCTCAATGCTCGCGGTCATCCATATCGTATTGACGAACGTGGTTTTCGCAGAATATCAACTACTCCTAGGCCATCAAAATATACCCCTGACGAGTGGAGGAAGATGTCACCGACCGTCAGAAAGGGCATCGCCAAGGCCGAAGAGAAGAAGGTTGAAGCTGAAGAAGAAAAGAAGAAGAGCGAGGCGAAAATCAAGGAGAGTGAAGAGCGAGCAAAGAGAAAAGAAGAAAAGAAGAAGGCAAAAGAAGCCAAGAAAGCCAAATCTTCCAAGAAAGACGACAAAGATGATCATGTTTCTGGAGTAGCCATGTCCCAAGACTACGTCCGAAGGGGCAAAGTTTTCCAATATGGTAAAGGGTCCACTTCTCTCGTCGGGAGAGGGATTCCTGCCCTTGCTCCATGCAATTCTGATCTATCAGACACTGATGTACCTGATGATGATGACTTCTTGATGGAGTGGGATGAATGGTCTGAGATCGAGAATGGCAGGGGGCCGAAGGCTACTTGGAACAACGACAAAGTGTATGACTTCAACCAGGGGAAAGTGGTGGCTGCTGCGACCTTGCACAACACCGACGAAGTACCCCAAGACGCTCGTGGCCTCAGTGATGTTTTCCATCCATTTCCATGCATGCCATGCATTAATCATTGTGATGATCATCGAGAAAAGATAG